GCGCGAATGCCATGGTGTGCGTTTGCAACGCAACCTACTGCGACACGGTGGATCCGGTCTCCCTCCCTGACGTCGGCTACTATGTCAAGTACACAACCAGCAGGGACGGCCAACGCTTGGAGCGGAGCGAAGGGCAAACAGACGCCACCTCAGGAGCTTCAGGTAAACCTGGGGGAGTGGGGTTGGGCTAGATGACCTACAAGGGTCCCTTCGCACTCTGTTGTGATGTCCGTTCTGTAAATCCTTTCAGGTGGAATTTTCTACACCTACAATCCTTTCGTTCAGTACCAATACATCAAAGGCTTTGGAGGGGCATTCACCGACGCTGCGGCCATCAACATCCTGAAGTTGTCTTACGCAACCCAAAACCAACTCCTCCGCTCTTACTTCTCGGAAGAAGGTGAGAAAATTGGGAAGGACCGCTTGATGAAAGCTAGCAGCTCAAGGAAAGCTAGCGTCCTGAGGCTCTTCCTCCCACCCCCCTTGTTTATGGCAACTCAAAAACAGGCATAGGAATGCTTTACGAGTTGACACTATCTTTCTCAAAGCAAAGATTAAATTCCGGCAGGGTTACGCTGCGTTTTAAAAGCAAGAATAGCAATCTCTTTTAGGCATACCATCTGAACAATCCAGAAAGTATTCTGTTTTTTTTTTTTTTAAGTCCTGTTTTACTGACTTTATGCACCAGCTTTTGATGAGGGTGGGAAAAATGCAAGGTAAATTTATTTTATTTATTTTTGTCAAGCGATGGTAAGATAACAGGTATAAGTATAAACATAGTTATGAATACAACTGGATGGATGCATATAAGAAAAATAAAAAGAAGTTCTGCTTTTACTTTTTCTTTTTTAAATAAATTTTTATTGCGTTTTCCACCAATACAATTCAAATCATATTCACATTTTCAACAGCCTTTTGACATCTACAAGTATTATTATCTTCTACTACTGTAAATCCTAATACATTTAATATACATCTGCCAATAATTGTTATCTTTATAATTAGTTCTATCTTATATACTTACATATTTTACATATCTACACATCATTTTCTCTTACGGTCTCTTACATTTTAATCTCATTTCTTATATCTATTCTCTACCCATTCATACCGTTTGTGTTTTTTCATTTTTAATTGACTTGATTTATCCGCGGAATGCTCCACCTATTGGAGGAAGCGAACACTTCGGTGAAAATATGTTTCAGTGAGAACCGGTTGACTGAACGGCATAGCATGAAAGAAAAAAAAGCATAGAAGGAGAACTTACTGAAAATGTTTTATCGAGGGTATCTCTCCCCAGTCAGACTGGCTAAGATGTATAAAAGTTAATCCCAAAAATGTTGGAATTGCTCAACGGAATTCCAACATACTATCATGCTTGGTGGAGCTGTAAAAATGCACAATAGTTCTGGCATAGGACAGGGAAGTGGCTGGAAGAAATGCTGGGATTTAAAATAGATCAGAATGCTTTTTATTGGGAATTATACCCCAAAAATACAATAAGGATGAGCTTTATTTGATAATGCATGTTATCACTGCAGCAAGAATGGGATTTGCCCAGAAATGGAAGGAGAAAGAAATACCGAGTGAGGATGAAGTAATACAATTCTGATATGCGCTGAAATGGATAGGCTAACCTTAGAGATGAAAAATAAGGACAAATCGGAATATTATACAATTTGGAATAGATTTTACCACTGGTGGGGACAGAAAGGACTTAAGATGGAAAAAAAATTATTGAGAGGGTAAATTAGAGTATGAGATGAAAATAAGACTAAGGATCTTGGAGGATGTAATGTAGGTATGAATAAATGTATATAGGTGTATAGATAAAAACTAATGTATATAGGAATGTATATACTCATACAGACCAAAAGTCAAAACCACTTCACCACGTTCAATGTTTTCGATTGTTATGTTTAATAAAAATTTAATAAAAAAGGGAAAAAAAACAAGGGGAAGGAGAAGGAATAAGATGACCTCTGATAAAGAACTATATTTTTATTTTTATTTTATTTTATTTTAAAACAAACAATCCACCTTCCCTTTAAACAGTGTGTTGTCTGGGTACCAATATCTTGTGCAATAACAAATACAGTTTACACATATTGTATTCGTATTGATTCTCTATCCTTACTTAATACTGATACACACGATATGTCTAATTAGTATAACAATCCCTATCTTACCACATTTGGTTCTGTTAGCATGTTTTTTATATTTCACTCATCTTTTTTTAATTTCTAATTCCCATATTTCTAAGCCATCGATTAAAACAATTCCCATATCAAATAGTATTTGGTTTGTTCCTTCTCTTTAATTGCAAGTGTTAGCCTGTTCATTTCTTACCCATTCTAATATTTTCCGGATCACTTTCGCATCAGTGGAAACCTCTACACTTTTCCAGTTTGATGAGAGAGTATCGATGGCATTATTATTATTCTTTTGGTGGACGTAAGTTTTATATCCTTTTTTTCTTCTTTTTCTGATTGTGAAAATTAGAAGACCAGAATTTTTTTCCTTTCTCTCTCTCTCCGCTTCTGCAGGAAGTGAGTACAATTTGCTGCGTTGGCCCATTGGTTGCTCCGACTTTTCCACGCGGCCGTACAGTTACGACGACCATTGCGTGGATGACTTCGAACTCAAGTGTTTCGAGCTGGCCCCCGAAGACACCAAACTTAGGGTGAGTTCGGCTGGACTGAACGCACATCCACAAGAGGCTTCCAGGTTGGGTCGCAGGCTGGTTTCTGCTTTGCAGCTGAAAGGAAGTTCTCCCTGTGTGCTAATTCGAGCGGTGGGCTCCTTGCCGCTCTCTGAGCTTGGTGGCTTCCTTGCAGACATTTCATGACCCAACTAGGTAACATTATCAGTGCTAGAAGGAACCTTGTGGGACCCCAGTGCTTACTTCCCTCCATGCAGACTTAGACCCATTAAGGACTACTTGTTGAGTACGGTTTGTCAGCCAGTTGCAAATCCATCTGGTGGTGGTGCTGTCTATTCCACTTTTTTTCTAGCTTACCAAGAAGTAGGTTGTGGTCTACTTTGTCGAATGCCTTGCTGAAATCTAAGTTTATTATGTCCACAGTATTTCTCTGGTCTACTAATTTAGTCACTATGTTGAAGAATGCTGAAGACAAAGTGATAAATTCTTTCTTCTCACGACACGCGGACAGATTCAATCCCAGTTTCTATTGGGGAAATGTGAGCGCCCCAAACCAAGCTGAAAAATGTCGATCGGTTGGGTCGGTAACCGTTTTACAACTGCTACAACTTAACGACCATAATGGGCAGGCTCCATGGTGGTCATAACGTGAGGACTATCGACAGAGCTCTGGGATCAACATGGTCGAAGTCAACA